CCCTGATTATCGTGTTTATTTTCCATTTTAAATCTCCCAAATCGGACAAGAAACAAACGCGTAAGACGCGTTTACGTTGTATAAAAAAATATCCGGTTTTTTTTGTTACACACTGTATCAGATAGAACAACACCATGAATGAAAAGAATGGAGTGTCTGAAAGTAGGTATGTGCCGTTCTCTTTGACTATTGACTTTAAGTATTTTCATCACTTGATAAATGGAAAGTTAAAGACTGTCTTGTCCACTTGGATTAGCATTTTATTATGACTTATTTACTGGCAGTGGTCTTGGAAACAATATCACTAGGCAAAGTGATATATCAACATTCTTCTAATAAATGAAGGGAGGCACTATTTAGACTAGCACCTTTAGAATACTATAGTAATAGTAAACTTTATTACTTATGAGTAAATGTAACTATAAAGCAATATGATATTTTGACAAAGTATGATTGTTGTTTAGAAACCTATCAAAGTATTGTAAAACACATGTACTTTAACCTATACAGTGTCTTTGCTGGTTGAGAATTTATGTATGGCAAAAACAGTGTTTCCTTGACAAATCCTTTATTATTATATGCATTAAATACAGGAAGTTTTTGTAAAAGATTATCAGGAGAATGGTAGGGCATATTATCAAAGTACTTCTCAACAGCTTTATTATTAACTTTTTTAAAGTCTCCTGGGCAGAAAAATTCCAATTAAAATCCTTTGTTAAATGGTTTAAGAATGCTGGAACAAAGGACCTGTTGGTTACAATGTACCCTGCTACAGGTCCCTAACCATGAGGCAAGTCTTCAAGAAGTTATTCCCAAGTGAAAAACTTTCCTGAGGTTATGGACTGGCTGGCCATCGAGAAATAATTCTGGTAAATATTTTATCCACATTCTCTTTTGGGTACTCAATTTCCTTGGTTGTTTTTGATGATGATATTCTCGGCCATGAATTCAAAAATAATCTCGCAGGCAAAATTGGGAACTGCTCATTTTCCTTTTCTTAATAAACATACATCCTCAGCAACTATTTAAGTTTATAAAGAAGCAAAGCACATAGATTCGTGAAAATAAGTAAATAAGGAGCAACAATACCCTTGAATACATAAAATTTGTCTTCTTCATAAAGTAATTTAAATTTTCAGACTTGCAGAATTATCTTCTTTTCGTTGTTGGGATATTTTCATAAATTTTCGTCTTCTAGATATTTATCTCATGAGGAATTAATAATCTTTCCCATAAAATTTAGACCTTTTGAATTTGTAGTAACTAAGTCTGTTGAATTGGAATATATTAGGCAAGATTGTTCAAGTTTTGAAAGATATCTTGATATTCAGAACCACAATAAATATGTTTGTAGTTTTCCTAATTTAGGGAAAGATGCAACTTTGGTTGTTCCCTTTCCCCAACAAAAACAAACTAATAGTCATGGGAAGAAGCAAAAAAAAATTATAGATAATATAAAAGGAATTATTATATGGGAAAAGAAGAATGAAAGTGACGAAATACTTGATTACAAAAATATTAGTAATTTTACTATTAATGCTCCAATTGAGCAACAAATGATATTTTGAAAGAAAGTAGCTGATCAGTTCCTATGGTTCTATGGTTTCTCTCATGGCCACATTCCTCTTCCTATACATCCTCTTTGATCAACTAACTTCAAAGACTCAGCTTTCAATCAATGAATCTAGAAGTCCAATATAAATATGACTGTTCATTTTCCTGAGTATTTGATAGATAGGAAGAAATATAGTCTTCAATTGCTGTCCTTTCTGATGATCAGATAAGAGCAAGTGGAAGAGAAATAGCCATAGCAATAAAAGATCACATTATAGTGCAGTATTAGAGGACTATCACAAACATGAGACTTGAGACTTAATATATGTTTATAAAAATCCTTTGTCATAGAAAGGGCAGCATGAGAACTGAATGTGTCACCAAAAAATTTGTTGAAATTCCCCTGGTGTATCAGAAGACAATCATCAGGAAAATCCAAAAATTGAATTGCAAATTTGCTTGCTCTGTAACATATCATCCAATGTTCCTTGTATATCTTGGATGGATTTTGTGTTCATTGTGTGCTCTTTAATAAGAGCACTTGAAATCAATCTCTTCTTCCACTTTTTCACTTGCAATGCTTTCAGTACAGAGTAATTTTGCTATAAAGCCGATTTCTGATAATGCAAAAACTGTCCAAAAACACATGTGGCATAATGCTAAATGTATTGTAGTACCATCATAATCAATATTTTGAGCTGCAACTCCTGTAGTAGTAAGGATTTGTGTAGATTAAGTCAGCTAAATTAAATATGATTTCCCTGTGCCAGCAAATCCATCAACCACAGGAAGTGTGCCACTTGTTGAGAACATGAGTATTATTATTAGTATTGGGTCAAGTGTTTTTATTGTGCTTTTGACTCTTGAGAGTCCTTGTCTTCTATGCATCTATCCACATTTGGTATTCTGTGCAGCATTGACTATTATAATGCCATCATTATCAAGTGAAATTATAACCAGCTTTTCATAGATATTCAGAGATTTCTTCAACAGATGGCCAGTCATTATAGTGCATCCAAGTAAAACACCTTCCTTTTGTTGCCTGTTCTTTTTGCATGTTGTGCTACACATATACATGGTGATTTTGTCGAGGGCCTCATTGAGAGTGTCAGCCTTCTCACTGCCATCATACCTTTCCATTGTGGCAATATTAATATAACAAGCAAGACTGTGTTCGACTTTGGGGTTGACAAACCGGAGCTTTCATTTCCAGACGAGTGTTCTTCCTTGCTGAACTGTGTTGTGGCGGTTTCCTATTGCCACAGGAGGATATTGAGAGCTATTTTAGAGTGTGTTTGGTGCATTAGTATGTTTACTAAGGCGTTTTTGCGTTCCTTTATTAGTTATACCTACGATTGCACTAAAAAGGCTCTACAGTGTGTTACAAAAAAAAAACGTAATTTTTTGCACGCGACAAAAACACGCCTGGCGCGCTCTGTTTATATGCGATCCGTGACGCGTAATACAAAATAAAGCTAAATAAGGCATTTATTATGTACATACTTGACAAATGCTTACATCCAAACTATATTACATTTGTGGAAAATGGCATACGAAGTGCAAAAGAAATTCATGCCCGAGATTGTCAGAGGGCACGTTATCAATAGTGCTCTGGGAGGGTCTGGACACCTCAGCAACAACCCTAAAGAATTATCGAACGTCGGCGGTATTCTTTATAATGGCAGATGTAATTATCATCCTAATCCATTTTAAGTTATAGTTTCTGTCCATTAACTTATTTATATTTTTACTTCTCTTTAAAGAATGCCAAAAGATATTAGCGATTCGGAACAATTTATGACCGGCAACAACCCTAAAGAATTATCAAACGCCGGTGGCGATATTCTTTATAATGGCAGATGTAATTATCATCCTAATCCATTTTAAGTTATTGTTTCTGTCCATTAACTTATTTATATTTTTTACTTCTCTTTAAAGAATGCCAAAAGATATTAGCGATTCGGAACAATTTATGACCGGCAACAACCCTAAAGAA